GGGGGGGGGGGGGGGGGCAGCCGCAGGGCCCCGCGGCCGGCGGCGCCGGCCCATGGAGGGGGTGGCGCTGGCCCCAGCTGCTGGCGCTCGGCTTGCTCGTGCCTCTCGCCCTCGCCTGGGAAAGCGGCGACTTGGAACTCTTCGACCTCGTGGAGGAGGTCCCGCAAAACTTCTACGCTTTCCTCGGCGTCGAGCAGGTGAGGAGGGAGGCGCGTTTGGGCCGCTCGGCGTCTTAAGCTGGGCCTTGGAAGTTCCTTCGGGTCGCGGGGCACGTGGCGGAGAGACCGCAGGGCGAGACCGAGGGGCTCTCTGGGCGCAAATGCTGGTGGACCTCTTCGCGGGGACCTGGCCTGCAAAGCCTGGGATTAGACGACGGACTCGGGGTTTCTTGTGGCAGAGGATGGGGTTTTAAAGTTACTTTTTAACAGGCTCAACAATGATTTTTCTGTGGCTTTTCGTAGCTCATGTGCCCTACACGGTAGCTGAACACATCTGAGAGGTGCCAGTTTGAAGAAGGCCGGGGTTTAGCACTTCCTGGGTTTCCCTTTTTCTTTTCCATTCACTGTATTCTGGCTCTTCTGATATTCTGTATAATCTGGTTTGATTGATGTCTTCCTATCCAAACTTTCAGCTCTATTGCTAAATGCAGTGTTATCCCTTTTTCTTGGATACTGTGACCAAGTACCAGTTTTTCCATTTCTACCTACACATTAAAATGTAACTGGTTCCTTTTTTCTATTATCCCACAGCTATTTTTTTTAATGTACTGTATACACCACTGAACTTTATGCAGTTTACAGTGTATATAATGAAGTACAGTGATCATAATAATATGGTCATATAAAACATAAACAGCATAGAACTATAATAAAAACTAGAAGTGACAGTCATGGCTCCAAAAATCAATCCCATTAAATAATGGTGGATGTTTCCCTTTTTCTTAAATTTTCAGATTTGCAAATATATTCTTTTCCTGCCTTCCAACCTCCTTGTTCCACTTGAAAGGTGGCTGTTGATATCTTTATTCCTGGATGACTCTGCTCACTATTGGGGGGGGGGGAGTAATGTTAATATAACATGTCCTCTTTGTGGAGTAAGTAGGCTTGTTGGTGTTTTAAGTTTATAACCTGCTCATCCATTGAGAACAACTTTGAAGTCTGGTCTTCAGAATTATCAAATGATGGTTGGATCTAATACTTCTCCTGTTGTCTTGTTATGTATCTGTCTAGGATTCCTTGTTCAAAGTTGCCTTCTGTTTTGAAGTCTCGATATTAGGCTTAATGTTTTTTGGGCCTGGCTTTTGCAGGCGGTGGGATTGCTGCTGTTTGGTGATGGTTTCATTGATTTCGTTTTTAATTTGGTGTTCTGCTGTTCTTGTTTATCTTGACTGCAGGTTACCATAGCCATTGGACTGAAAAGTGGATGTAAATGCCTTAAATAAACACATAAATTGCATATGTGAAAGCTTTAGAGTGTGACTAGTTGGTAGTGAACTGAAAGTTAAATAAGACTAAGGATTCAGGATTAATTAAATTAATACTGTAGTTACTATTATTATTGGGTTAATGGTTTGTGAAAACTGGCAGTACCTAATGTCTAAGCAAAAGAAGTTTTTTTAGGGAGTTTTTATAGTTTGAAATATTAGTATGAAATTTACATTCTTGACAAATATGTAACCATTAAACATAATCCTAAACTGAATCCAAGTACATAGCAACATTTGTTCTCTTTCCTTTTCCTGTCCAGGCACTTTTTAAATGATTCAGTAATTAGTGTAACTGCTTTGAATATATTTCATTATTGCAAAGAAAACAATGGGAAGCGTTTATGAGAATCATGACTTAACAGGAGAAATATTATTTTGGTTAAATTCGGTAGCTGGCATTGAAAGGACCATGCAGAAAATTTATATTGGGTTTCTGAAATTGTCTCCCTCATTATTCCTTCCCTTTTCATCACCGTCAAGTCACAGAAACTGCTTTTAAAGATCTTCACTCTGACTGATCTTCACTCTGACAAATTTGCTGAGCCATAAGAACCTGGAACAGGAAAGGGAACTTGGGGAGACTCAGAGTAGTACTGTGCTACATTCCACGTATGGCAGTCACTAGATGTTAACTGCTTGTGCATGATACTCTTTTTAGACTGGTTGATAACTAGGGAGAGGGTGTCCCATTGTTTCTAAAAGGACACTTATTCCATTTTGCATTTTGATGAACTGTTCAGTTGCTACTTTTAAAAATGGATATCCCTTGTGGATTATTAAAGTGTCCTTGCCAGTTTCCTTATTCTTGTATGACTAAATGACTGCCATTTAATCCTATAGGAGTAAACACTTTGGGAATGGGGACACGTAGCACAATATGGATCTGTATAGACTATGCTCAGGCAAGGATTGTGCAATTTCCTCCAGGTTTAGAAATATGCATACCTTATTCATGCAGTGAATGCGCATGGTAATGAGAACTACTTTATTAGATTCAAGTGGATGGATTTAAATTTTTTGTCTGTGTATATATGTGTAACTTATTTTTGCTTAATTGTAAGCAGGCTTTTTTGTACCTTTAAAATATTCCACTCAGTGAGGCAGTTCTGTTACCTACTGATACATGCAAATTATAAACAGTATAAGGTGGGATGTAACATTTTCATATTTAACAATGTATTTTTTAACAAGAAAGAGTATACTAACAATACAGTTGATCAGTTTATGAAGGACATATGTATTAATAATTCTGAGCAACCTTTTTCAACCTTCGGGAGTCTATAGCTGTCAGCGTGCAGTTACAGCAACTTTTCAGTTATTTCCTTTCTAATTTTTGTACAGTATAGTTCCATTTTATTTATTTATTTCATTCAATTTATATAGCCACCCATCTCACTCACGTGACTCTGGGCAAGTTAAAACAGCACAAAAATAAACTTGTATAACATTAAAAAAATTAAAACAGTAAATCAAAAAACATAAAAGAGCAGGAGAGTGCCAACCATGGCTCATAAACAATAATATTTTAATATTAATAGTGTAATAATTTTTGACAACGTATCCTCTATGTCAAAGTACCACAGTCTTGGGCACATTTAGAATTTTAAAAACATGTCATGATGCTGGCATGTGATCTAGCACATTAATTAATTTATTTATATTTCAAATTTGTCACTGCAAATCAGTGAAATTAACTGAATGCCTCCTATAGCCCCCTTCCCCAATGGCTTTCTACTGCCCCATCTTCCTCTTTTCATTTGGATGACAGGAAAGGCACATGTTCAGACAAAGCGCTATGCTGCTGCCACTACCAACCATTTTTATTTTCAGGACTCTAAGTGGACCTGGAAGCATTCTTGGAAATACGGTGTTTGCAACAGATGCTTTGCTATGCAGGATGGTGGTGTACAAATTCATTTTTTAAAATTATAATTAAAAAAAACCTGATGGGGTGTAGAACCTTGGAGGCCAAAAAGAGGTGTTTCTGGATATGTCAGTGCCCCCAGATGCCCTGAATGGAACCCAAGGATTGTGAATCTTTGACCCTTAGAGATTGAGTTCCAGCTTTCATTACCATGAGTTAGTATGACTAGTGATAAAGGATGATGGGAAACTGTAATTAAAAATGTTTTTAATCCTGTCCTAAGCAAGTACCTTACAGGTAAAAGAATACCTAAATTGGACTTATCCTGAAAAAAAAGCCCTTATAAAGGACATTTTAACTTGTAAATTTATCTTCTGGCCCATAAATGTAAAATAATAATCTTGAATTATGAATATGTAATCATTTCTCACTGAGCTAGGTAGCCTGCTTGATCTTAGAACCAGGGTTTGCTCTGGTTAATACTTGGATGAGGAACCATGTGGGATGACAAGGGCTGCAGATTAAACTGGGAAATCAGAAAACATAGTCGAAGCAGGCAGTGCTAAACCACTTTCATATTATTGCTCCATGGATGTGTCCAAATAAGTCACCAGGAATTGAACTTGACTCAAGAGTTTATTTCTATGTAGTAAAAAGATCTGGAGCTGCTTGCCCTTTCATACTCTTATCAATACTCAGACAGCAGGAATTGAACAGTTCTTGAGGATACTGCATAACCTTCAAGCGAACCTAGACTGAAGTACCAATTACTGTAGTTGTAAATTCCTCAAGCCTCCTGCTGGGTTGCATTGCATGAGATTTTAACTCTCTTGGTGTCTGGAGGAAAAACTCAATAGTTTTTCCCCCCCTCTCTTGCATTCCAAATTCATGGACATGGATTGATCTCTGAATTCTTCAGTACCTGTCATACCCATTGTTGCTTTTTTATTTAAGAAGTTTATTAGTAGGTTGGTACCTTGTTGTAGTTGTTTTATTACTACGTACTTAGAAGGCAGCATTTGCAATACAGATAAGTATTTTATGCAATGGTTCCCCCCCCACCCTCACCCGTTATAGTGACTGAAGCCAGAACTGCTGAAGGTCTCACAGTGAAATGCTGGTTTATTCCCCCCCCCCCCATGCTCAGAAAATATAATATCAGAAGAAGAGCTAAATTGTTGACTAGCCTGGTAATTGTAAACAGATTTTATTATATTACCTCTGCATAGCCTTGCACAGTAAATGTATTTCAAAAGGAGTTTCTTCTTTATACAGACAGGGACAGCACTGAAGACTAGGGCAACTCAGATCTTGATATGTGCTTGTTGATTTAGCAGGATTGATCCCCAAAAAGCCAGATGGGTTTGTGCTGCTTTTTCTACCAACTATCGCTAGTCCAGACAGACTTTCAGTGAGAATTTGACAAAGAGCCCTGCCCAAACCAAAGCTTTCGCTGTTTTCCCCAGTAACTGCTTGATTCCAGTACTACAGAGTTGTAATGCATCTGCTGTTATGTATTGAAAATGATGAATATCCATCTATGAGTTATGATTTTTATATCTATTATTGATTCTAGAAACAAACAAAACAACCTTTTGTTACCTGTTATGTTGCTGTTCTGAATAATTTACTTAAAGCAGCCTGTCTTATGTGCAGTTAGTAAAAACAAGATAGCTCCATGCATTTAACCAGTGCTTACCACGATTGGTAGGATTATCACATTCTGTGTCTGTGAATTCCTCCAATTAAATGTGTGAAAGAACCAGTGCTTTGGGGTTTTGACGAAAGGCAATAGTACACGTATGAGTAGTTGCCTAGCAACTGCCTGCATGAATCCTCTAATTCCA